GATGGGTTCTCTGTTCTGAGGTTACCCATGCCGTCCCAGCCCCGGAGCAAGCCTCTCCTCCTCTAACTCCGGCTCCCATTCCGATTCCCGTCGCCGAACAAGCTCCGCCGCCCTCTCCCGACAGTCGCGACCTCCGTCCGCCCTCCTCCCGTCGTCGAACAACTCCTCACGCTGCAGATCCGGACCACCCAGCCCCAGATCGCGACGGATCTCGCGCTCCTCCATGAGACCAACGTCTCTCCGGTGTCGGAACTCCCTCTCGCGGCCTCGATCTTCGCGAATCGGCGCTTCCCAGCGAAGATCCGCCCGATTTGGCACCTCCACTCCGCCTGGGTCGACGCGATTTGGGCTCTCCTCGCCCCGAGGCGCGCGATCTCGCCTCTCCCCGTCCCGTCGTTCGCCGTCGCGACCCAACTCGGCCTTCCCGGCCATCGGCCGCGCCGCCAGCAGTGCCTCCATCCTCCGTAGCACCGCCTGCATGTCTTCCATCTGAGTCCGAACCTTCCCCACCTGGTCCCGGAGCCCCCCGATACTCCCTCCAGAAACCTTGAGATTACCTCTCAAAATAGCCCTAAGTTTCTCTCTTAACTCAAAAAGCTCCATGTATCGTAGATGCTCTGATACCATTGTTAGGATCCTAACTCAGAAATACCATACTCACACACATCAGAAACAGCAAGAAAATGAGAATAATTAGAGGGAATTTTATTAATCTAATCAGCCAAGAACACCAAATTACACTGAAATGTAAAGGATAGAACGGAGAATTCGAGTACTCCGGGAACTCCTAATTTAGTGGTATTCGAGAGACCACCGCTCTCCTTAATCTCAGTTTCTCAAAACTCTCCAAATCACAACATACCTCTAGTGAGCTACTAAGCCCTTTATTTATACTAATTCCTACTAACTATATCAGCCCACTAACCAAACAAGTTCCCAAGTCATTAACGGATCCTAACAAATAACAATATGTTGTTTTTTCTTTGGCTGCATTTAGATAGATAGACTGATGCTAACTAGAACATTAATAACCAGTGTTGCAGAACTAATCCTCTCTAATCTCTAGGAAACTGAGAAATTATACGTCAATTTGCACACGTACAAATGGTAATGCAATTTGTAGGAAACTTGGCTCATCATACGTTTTACCTTTTACTAACCTATCATGTTGCTGAATCACTTACCATTTGTTTTCTTGGTCCAATATATTAATTATTTTACCTTTTTCTTCTTACACAAAAAAAGGGTAAAACAATTGAAATATTAGGAAAGAAAACAACAAAGACAAGTGATTCAGCAACATTTGGAGGAAAACAAAGATAACTTGGGGATGAATAACTGAAATGCTTCAGTCATAAAGCATGACTGTATTCCATGAAGAGAGAATCCAACTCCGAACTCTCCATTGTGTTGTGCCGAGACAAAAATTGGAATATTGGATTAAAAACTTCACCTGAATGACATAAACCACAGCATTGATAGTGAGGAAACTTGGCCTTAGCCCATCAGTAGATACCGCACGTGCCTGTTAAAATAGGAATCATAACCAAACCAAATTACTTAAGGGGAAAAAAAAAAAGGAACAAGCAAAAGCTAGCTTGTTGAAGATAAAATAACAATAATAACGATTAAATAGTAACCTGATAGTAAATTTCAGCCCAGAATAGAACTAGAAGCGCATAAGTGGTGAAGAAAACAAGACTTGGCAAATCAAGCAAGATATGCTGGGCAATCTACAAAACACAAGGAAACAGAATTCACATAACACAAAATAAAATATGAACCACACATCTGAAATTTACATAAACGAATCCAACCTCTGGCTGCAACTTCTGCACATCTCTGCGGAACACGAAAACTAAAGCCCGAACTGAAATAACAGAGAAAAATAATCAAACTCAGTGAAAACACAAAGAAAAACTTAAAATCCAAAATTAGTAGGAAAATTCATTAGATACAAACCCCCATTCACCACAAAGTTGAGAAAGTGGAAAACCTTCTGCGTCGTCCAACCGTACTCCGGCACCCTCAATTGTATCCGAACAAGTTGAATCTAGCACAAACACAAACACATTCACACCAATCTATAATTACAGAACGGAACTCCAAAAACAGAAAAACAAGAAAACTCGTAAAGTATTGCTTCTCTATCTATATTATCATTTTTCCTTCATTTCTAAGGAAAGGAACACAAACCGAGATCCCATCCTTCAAAACAACGCAACCTAGCCAAAACCCTAGCGCAATACCAATGTCAATCTCGATAGAAATCAGGAACAAATCAAACAAAACAATACTAAATAGATTGGGAATTGAGCTAAAGATTATGCCAATTACAAAATGCATACACATATACAAACATATATACATATATATATATATATACATGTATATAAATTGTGTGCGGCGAAAAGTACCAGAGCAACGGCAGCGACGACACCGTACAAGGCGGCGAGGATGTGAAAGATGCGGTCCTGCCACAGCGGAGATTCATTGACATCGTTCCACCAACTGGAGGCGTCCGTGAGCTTGTACGCGATAACTGCCGCCGCCGACGGAATTTCCTCCATCCGATCGAAGCTTTTTCCGATCAATTTTCTTCAGAGAAAAACAAGAAAATCAAATCGAATGCCGATGATCGCTCGCTTTCACCTGGAGGAAGGAACGGGCCCGCCGATTTCAGAGATTTGAGAAATTTTTTGAGATTGAGATTATTGTTCTTCCTTCTTCTTCTTTTGCTTGTTTGAGAACAAAGAACCAAACCCCAATCTAACGATTTCAGTTTTGGGATTTGTTTTTCATAATTTTTTTTTCTTTTTTCTTTTTTGGATTAATTTTTGAAATGGAGAAATTGAGAAGCGCCGGCAAATATGCGGAGGTGGAGAAAGGGGCGCGTGGTTAATTTCTGGCTCTCGAAGTGACCGGCGATAGCCAGTCTTACCTTGCTGTCTTCCTAGTTTCTACACGCGTCTTCAAAAACCGTCCTCACTCCTCATCGCACCCCACGTGGACAATATTATTTATTTTCAAAAAGAAAAATAATTATAAAAACTCCCCTTTAACTTTAAGGCATTTTGTAGCAATTCACCTCCAATCTTCAATTTTGGTATTCGTTCCCGCAATCTATTACGCGAAATCCTCCTGTAAGATCTTTTAAAAAATAAATGATCCATTTAATTTATTAATTTAAATTAAGATGTAATTTTATGTTAAAATTAAACATTATTATTTTTAAAAAAAATTTATTATAAAAAATTTAAAATTTAAATTTAAATTAATAAAATAAATGGGATTAAAATAACACATATCATATAAAAAACAGGCTTGTTGAACAATTTACTAAACTTACTCTCTTAGCTTCTTTTTTCGTACAGTCATATAGAAGTAAAATGAGAGATTTTATTTTTTAAAATTTTAAGTTATTTATTTATTTTTCTTTACAATAGAGTTTTTAACTTGTATTAATTTTTAAACTTAAATTAACTTTAGACATAATATAGTTACCAATACACCATTATACTCTTCTAAAAAAAAAAACACCCTTAAGCTATGTACTACGTGTTAATTATATGTCAATTTTCATTAAAAATCTCAACTAAAAGAGTTTTTTTGTTAATATTTTACAAATTTGGCAAACGATTATGTTTTTCAAAATTACAAGCACATTGCTCTGAGAGTTTTAATTGAGAGAGAATTTTTTTTCAGTCATAAATAAATTTTAAATTAGTTAAAATGGGCGTAACTTGTATAAAATATGCTTCCCTAAACCTATTTGTTTTATTTTCTTCAATTTTAGTCCCTTTGGTAGTAAAGAACAAAGATCATCTAATTCTCAACAACAATCATACAAAACCTTCTTGACCTTGGTCCCGCACTCTATACAACCCACTAAAGAATAATCCGTTTTTGTGGGGGGGCCCGATGAAACGTTTCGTCCGTTTCTCCTCCAACAATTAGCTATGTTGTTTGTTTGTTTGTTTTCTTTTTCCTTTTTTTTT